ACAAGTTCTGTTAAGAGAACTTATATGAGAACTTACATAAGATTTTACATAAGAAATTACATAAAAAATTACGCAAGAACTTATGAAAGACCTTATAACAAATTTTCAGCTGGGTGTGGTAAGCTTTTGTGGGTGCATCTGGACTGTTTCATTTTAGCTTGATGACTCTACGGGAAAGTCACCCAGCACCCACACTTTCATTATGCCAGAGAGTCTCCAACGAGCTCCAGACTTGACAGATAGATAGTGATGTTTAATTTGGTCAAAAGGACATTGATGAAAAGAGGCTTGAAACCTTAATACATAGGTATAACCACTTGTAGTCTTTATTTGGGCATATTCTGGTCGAGTCTTTGGTTTCCTTTTTGTTTTTTGTAGATACAGCCGGTTCTCGGATAAGATAGTTGATACTTTTTATCAAAGTAGTCGTATGGTTTTAAATTTATTATATTTAAGTGCGATGACTTTGTAACACATGAAAAATGTAAAATAAATTTCTTTTCTGTTTTAATTATTGTTTTTTCTTTATTATTCCACAAAAAACGTACAAAACGATGCATACACCTTTTACAGACTTATGAAAAAATATATAAAAAGCCAAAAAAGTTGTATGCACACAGGTATTACAGATATTTTTATAAGACTCATGGAGAATTTAGCCACTCATACGCGTGTTAAACAAAATGACTCAAAAAATCAAGATGATATAAAATGTCATTGTTCTGATGAGTGAGTAATTCGTGGAACCGCGTGACATCATGCAATTTTCTTTAATCCTATGGTACTTTTTCCGAAGTTTAGAGTAATTTGTTTTTGCATTCTCTCTTTCAACTAAAACAAAAAAAATGTAAGTCAGCATGATTTGATAATAAGATATATATAAGGATCTGCAATTATCTGTTATTATTGACGCTACTTCAATTGTAGCACAAGTATTGCTATGAAAAGGTTTTTGTTCCAATTTTAAGCAAGCCCCTTTACCTTAGTATATTATGTAACTACCATTGGCTTGTAAGACACACTACAGTTTTGTGGGCATAGAGTTGCTTGGACTCAGAAAGTAGTATCTACGATGTGCCAGTGACATCTAGGAGTTGGTAATGTTTTCAATTAGTTGACGATTGTTCACAGCCATCGCTGGGTGCCACTCTTTAACCATTATTGACACGATATGTTCAATTATATTGAGATCCGGTGACTTAGGTGGGTGAGGAAGTCTCACAAGGTGAGCCCACCAATCTTGAACAAAATAGACTGTGTGCACAGGACTGTTGTCCTGGACAACGTAAACATTCTTTTCATTTGGATATCTGACGTTAATAATGGGGAGTAGATAATAACGGTCCAATAGATGAATATAGTACTGAGCATTTAGTATTCTGTGTATCATTACCAGGTTGCCTGGACCATCTTCTGATACCCAGCCCCAGGCACTTTGCGTGCGTCAACCACTATGTAGACTGGGTATCACATTCTCAGTGGCATAACGCGAATTTGGAAGTCTTCAAAGTCCAAGCCTACCTGATTTTTTTTAATAACAATCATTTTTTTTATGATAAGACCTTCAACATTTTAGAAATAAGTGTAAAAGCAATTTGGAGCAAATTACCATCCTTGGAGGAAGAGAATACTTTCTCATCTAAAAAAACAGTCTTTTGCCACTGTTCAACTATCTTGTTATGCAACTGCATAGCATAAATTACACGCAAGTTACAATGAACAAGGTTTAAGGCAGGTTTTATTGCAGGTTTCTAAAATCTCAATTCTGTTCTTTTCACCAGAGACTTTCTGATGGTTTCTTCATGGACATCCAGCTCCATTTCTGTGGGTAACCTGCAAACAGCAGTAAATGGATTATCCTAAATGATACCAACGATTTGATCTAAATCGGCATTAGGTACTTTCCATGGCTGACGATTTCAATGACGCAGATCGCGTGCAGAAATGCCTACTTCCCTTTCGGCTTGGAACCGATGCCTTCACTTCCTGACACAATTTTCAGAGCACTCAAAATAATCACAAATCTGCATGTTTTCTTTCCCTACTCTAATTAAGGCTCTCATTTGGTGCAAATTGTTGTCAGTTAGTCTAAATGCCATGGGTAAAAAAAAAGTTTGTCTGAATTTGTATACACTAAATTAATAAGGTACAAAAAAGTGATATATTTCTTGCAGCTTCATTTTTAAAAGTTGATATCTTCTCAGAGCATGGTTTCCAACTTTGATTTTACACAAGAAAAAAAAAATTTGAAAAGCGATGGCTACAGCTTACAATTCGAGGGTATTAGTTTTTTAAATATTTTTTAAAAGTTGGTATCGAAAACAGTTGAAGTATGAGAACTAAAACAAAAACGCAATGGGCACATAGTTTATGCATATAGCTATAATATAACTACAGTAGCATTTTGTCTGTCGCAAAGAATAGTCAAAACTGAAGTACATAATTGTGAAAGAAAATGAAAATGAATCCTCAAGAAATGAAAATCGCACTTCAAGTAAGCCGAAGGCCTCTACTTTATAATCCAGGGACTCCTTTGTACAGATGCCCAGAGTTAAGGGATACAGCATGGAGAGAAATTAGGGCTGAACTTAATCATATTCTATCTGACAACAAGCAACGTAAGAATATATGTGCATATAGTTTAATATTATATGTATCTTATTATCGAATCATGCTGACTTACATTTTATTTTGTTTTAGTTAAAAGAGGGAAAGCAAAAACAAATTACTTAAAACTGCAAAAACAGTACCATAGAATATCACCGCTCGAAACAATGACATTTTATATCATCTTGATTTTTTGAGTCATTCTGTTCAACACGCGTATAGGTGGCCAAATTCTCCATGAGTCCTATAAAAATATCTGTAATATCTTTCTGCATACAGCTTTTTTAAATTTTTTCATAAGTTTTAAAAGGTGTGTGCATCGTTTGGTACATTTTTTGTGGAACTATAAAAAAAAAAACAACAATTAAAATAGAAAAGAAACTTATATTACATTTTTCATGTGTTACAAAGTCATTTCACTTAAATGTAATCAATTTAAAATCATACGACTACTTTGATAAGGAGTATCCACTATCTCATCCAAGAACTGGCTGTATCTACAAAAAACAAAGATAAATCAAAGACAAGTTAAGACCAGAGTATGCGCAAATAGAGACTACGAGTGGTTATACCTATATATTAAGATTTCAAGCCTCTTTCCATCAATGTCCTCTTGACCAAATTAAACATCACTATCTATCTGTCAAGTCTGGAGCTCGTTGGAGACTCTTTGTCGTAATGAAAGTGTGGGTGCTGGCTGACTTGCATGTAGAGTCATCAAGCTGAAATAAAACAGTACAGGTGCACCGACAAAAGCTTACCATAACAGGTAGGATACTTGATGAGAATTTCCAGAGTTTCCATTTTGGGTTTGTGGATGGTGTGGATGATCACCAACTGCTTCATTTTCTTCTTCTTTTTTATTCTATCAATGTTATCGCGTCTCTTGACTGCCTTTCTGTCCAGGATAATTGGATTCAACTGTGATGAGCATGCCCATCTAATGATCCAGTTTATTTCTGAATAGATCTATTAATAATTTCTTCGACAGATTGTATGAAACGCACACATCAGTGAGAACTTAGTACATTGTCAAGAGAAAAAACAGAAAAGATAAATAAGTAGAGTATAATACACGTTATTACTATTAAAGAAACACAAGTACTAATATAAACATCAACATACCCACTCATTTTTCAATTATTTACGTGGGAGGATTTTATCACATGTTTCACCCAATTGCTAACACATAAGGGAACAATTTGTCTATCCTTACACACAACATAAATTTTTTTTTTGTTCAATTAGCTGTATAAGTTAGAAGAAAATTTAGTAAACTACATCGTATTACGATTATTATTATCATAAATCGTACTGCCAACTACTGGGACGTAAACAATACGATTATCATCAGAAAACTGTCATTCAGAAAAAAATCTGCCTTATTGACAGTCAGACGCTGTATAGTGGTTCTCAAATTTTAATTAAAAGGTCGATTAAAATTTTTAATTTTATGGTGTACGAATTAGCTAAAGCATTAGCACGAAGCCGTGGCTAGTGTACATTCTAAAAAAAGTGTATTCTAAATTGTAGTAAAAGTTCACTGACGGTATAATGAAATTTTTATTTTTTTGTCAGCTTCACATGTATAATGCTTAGAATTTTTCAGGCAACACGGCTGAGACTTCTGAATTTAAGTAAATTCAGAAGCAAGCAATTGCAAAACGTGTTGCTTGTTTATGTTTAAAAAAGAAATTGACTGATGTTTAATTTTGCTCCTTTGATTGGATCCAAACTCGAAACATAGCAAGAAATAATATATTTCATATCATCAATAACACAAACTTATGATGCTATTTCATCAAATGCAGGTCAATGCTCACATTTTGCAAAAATTATACGGCTTATTAAACAAGAATTAGTCTTACTTGATAGGGTATACTGTCCAACTAAACAGCAGCCATTGGTATAGCTTCTACGGAATCGGAAGTTTCTTGTTGCAATAAAGAGTACTTAAAATCTGCTGAATTTAAAGCACAAAAAGGACACTTAGCTTAATACCCTTTGAGGTATTTAGATCCCACCTAAGAGTTATAACGTGAATTATTTAGTTCAAAAAAATGGAATAATTCTATTGAAGTATTTTCTTTAAATATTAGGATGTTTCGTACCTCAATTACAACTCTATTTAATAAAAACTGATTTCTTTGCACTAACAAGCCGTATTTATAATATAATCAATAATAATTTTAATAAAAAACCGTTAATTTAGACGTAGATAAGGTGTAACAAAATATTAAAGAATCTGCTATTTTAACTGGAAAATATTGCTCATGAAAAAATTATTATTTTAATTGTATGTAAAAGTATACGTCAATTTTGAAACATTGAATAAAAAAAAAAAAATTAAATGGTATACACATAACAATTAAGAAAAATTTTGCAATTCAAACATGAGTTTTTTTCAAGTAAGTTTTAGTTAAGGACAGGATATTTTTTATATATATTTACTTACACAGAATAATTATCTTCACTGATAAAATCATTGGTTATATCTGTAGGATATTGAAGTAAAAAGTAATATAGTATAGTTGCAGAATATTTTTAACACTATATGTTAGTTAGGTATTATTTAAACAATTTTTTTTTAATTTCCTTGCTTTAAAATTGATAATATTACATGCACAATTAACAAAAATTGTATATTCTTACAGCAAAACAGCGGATAATATTTACGTGTGCTGTCACATGAAAAAATAATAATATACCGGTCGTAGAGGCCTCCTGTTAATTACAGATCTCCATACTCTGCGTCATTATTTCATTATTAACTTTAGTCTTACAATCACAATTATAGTGATAAGACTGAACTAACATTTTTGCTTGGTTCATCAACTTGTATTTTTTCAATAGGCCCTCATCTAAAGCATTAACAGTCAGGAAATATTATAATCTTGTAAATGATGCATTTCTAGCAATCGTTACATTATGTTTTAAAAGTCACTCCACAGGCGGGATTGCATAAATTTCTGAATCCTTAATGAATAAGATAAATTTTAACAAAAAAAAATCATAACGAACAGAAAGTAACGTATTTTAAATTTTAATGTATGATATGTGATACATGTAAAGGTCGAAAAAAAGTACAATCATAGTATGGTAGAATTACTTTTTCGGCCCAAAAAACTCTGACTAGCTTGAAAAAAAAGTTAAGAGTTTTAATGTATTATAAAAAACTGAAACAGAAACTAACAAGTAAGAATGTCAGCAAGAGCCCCAAAAAATGGGAAAAATGACAAGAACATGTTTTTCGTGTATAGAAAATAAAAACGAAGGATTATACATAGAGAAGTACAGCGTAAAAAGATGTCTTATTTAAGACGAACAATGTGATCCACGTAGGATTCAGATCGATTCAGTTATTTTTTCGCAAATCACAAGAAACTACCATTTTGAGCCATTTTTTCCAAATTTAATAACTCGCATGAGACAGATATCATAGCCCTTATCATACACAAAAACTTCAGTTTTATCGAATTTAAACTTTTCGCGAACCGCAGCAACAACCAAAATAAGGTCCTTACGAAAAATAACCATAAAAAAGTTGTTATCCAACATAGGTACATTTTTTAAACGCATTTCGCTTCGTTTATATTCACTCTACAAGTACCTATAATGCCATTTATTTTTACCAATTAAAAGTAACTTAAAAATTGATTGCAATAAAAAGCACATTTCATTTTAAATGAGCTTGAGGAAAACATGCATGTGGAAAGTACGCGAGGTCTCCAGCAGCAGCTAGTCGAGCCATCGATTCCACTGACCGGAGAGCATAAAGCCGTTTTTGCAATCAATTTTTAAGATATTCCGAGTTAGTTAAAATGAATGGCATTTAAGATACTTGACCTTTTTTCGGTTTTTGCTGCGGTTTGTGGAAAGTTTAAAATCGATTAAGCTGAAATTGCCTGTGTATGATAAGAGTTATAATATCTGTCTGTGCTAAAATTTCAGCTCTAAATGTTGTATAGAATGCAAGTTATTGAATTTTGAAAAAATGGCTCACAATGGCAGTTGTTTGCAATTTGCGAAAACACGGCTTAACTGATCTGAGCCCAACGTGGCTCATTTTGTTTGTCCTAAAATTGCACTATTTTTGTCCTATTTTTTTTATGCAAAATCTTTTGGCTTTCTTCTTGACTCGAAAAACTTGTTTTGGCCATTTTTGAGGGGCTTTTGCTGACGTTTCTACTTGTTAAATTCTGTTTTAATTTTTTATAATACATTGAAACTATTACTCTATTTTTTTCGAGCTAGTCAGAATTTCCAAGATATCGTNAGATCGGCGTTCGACGTTTTCATAAGTTTCGATACGATCCACGAGACTAGGGTGCGAAAATGGCATCTCTTCTTCCGAAACTTCTTCCATTGAGTCGACTTCATCGATGTTATCGTGTTCAAGATCCGAAACAACGCTCAGAGCGAAATCGGTGTCAGCTGCAGGAGCTGGAAATCGCGGACGTCGAGGCGCCCGAGATCGCGCAGGAAACGCGTCCAGAGCGAGACCAGCATTAGCGGCAGGAGCTGGAGCTTGCAGACGTCGAGGAGTCCGAGGATGCGCAGAAAAGGTGTCTGAAACGAAGCCAATATCAGTGGCAGGAGCTGGAGCTTGCAGACATCGAGACGCCCGAGAACGCGCAGGAAGGGCGTCCGGAGCGAGGCCAGCATACGTGGCAGGAGCTGAAGCTTGCAGACGTTGAGGCGCCCGAGGACGCGCCGGAAGTCGAGTCGCCCGAGGACGTACAGGAAGAGTGTCCGGAGCGAGGTCAGCTTCAGTGGCAGGAGCTGGAGCTTGCGGACGTCGAGGCGCCCGAGGATGCGCCGGAAGTCGAGGCACCCGTGGACGCGCAGGAAGGGTGTCCAGAGCAAGGCCGGCGTCAGTGGCAGGAGCTGGAGCTTGTGGGCCACGAGGCGCCCGAGGACGCGCAGGAAGGGTGTCCGGAGCGAGGCCAGCGTCAGCGGCAGGAGCTGGAGCTTGTGGACGACGAGGCGCCCGACGACGCGCCGAAAGACGAGGCGCCCGAGGAAGTGCAGGAAAGGCGTCCGGAGCGATGTCAGCGTCAGCGGCAGAAGCTGGAGCTTGCGGACGACGAGACGCCCGAGGACGCGCACGAAGTACGTCCGAAGCAATGCCTTGATCAGCAGCCGCAGCCAGTACTTGTAGAAGTTGATGACCGGGTGGTAACTCGTTTTCTTGAGCAGCATTAGTAGGAGGTTGAAAGGTCACCCGTTCATCTTGTCGCGGATATTTTGTAGCTGGTGCTCCCAGTCTCCTATTGCCTTTTCTCTTCGCCATTGCAACAACTCCCTTTCCTCTTCCCTTACACGCACCTTTTTGTGGGGTTCCCGGGTTTCAGCACCAAAATGAAACCGACTGGTTTCCGCGGTCAAGAAAAAAGAAATTCAAGGAGGCGAAGTTAACGTTTTTTTTCTAAATATTTATCAATACCGAGGGTATATAATACAGCTCGACGTCTCTCAAGAGAAAGAATCAAAAAACAAAAACTGCCGCTCGTTTTCTAGTCTTTTTATATCCGAATTTTATAACAAAATTCGTTGCCAAGGGCAACTGCGTTCGTTGTAGAAGAGAGAGGAAACCAACCGTGTTCTTTTATCCCTCTCTCCCCTTGTCCCACATTCAACTATTTTACCCGCGTGCGAACGTCTCTCGATCACGTCTGTGAGGGGAAAAATACCTCCTACCCCCTTTCCTCCCCTCACCCCGTGCTTTCGACATCAGAGTCGATACGCAGCCTTGACGGCACCACCTCTCCTCGCCGTCAAGCGTACGAACATCGTCACAACCATATACAATATATGTTGTGTGGAGACGTCCCCACGTACCTCCTTTTCTCTAAAAACATACTTAAACGGAGCATGAACGAGAAGACGAGCGTTTACAAATTACTAAGCGCTATCGTCGGGAACACCGTATATTCTCTACTTGCATGCTTCTATTACATTTTTTTGTAAGAAGTTTCACATTGATCTCATATACAGATTAAACAATAAATTGAACTTGATCTTTTTACTTCGAAAAGATGTGAACGAGCCACTCGATAAAATTAATGTCGCTGACAACATACCATGTGCGAACTGCAATTGCTGTTATGTCGGTCAAACATCGAGAGCTGTAAAATTAAGAATGGCAGAGCACAAAAGAGACATAGAGAAAAAAAAGGATACATCGGTACTACTACAGCATAGCATTGGATTTATATATTACTGCAATTTTGATAAAATAAAAATTTTAGACACAGAAAAAAATTACAAAAAGCACCTTTTTTCTGAAATATTGAATATACATCACTTCGGTATTAAAATTAATAGACAACACGATACAGAACAATCAAAAAGTTATTATAAGTCTCTTGTTAAGTCAGTTAAGAAAGAAGACTAACTCGATGTACTTGATTTCAGGGCCCCTTTTATTTATAGTATTAAAAAAATATGGACTGTTTATATGCATCTCACAAGAAACTTCTTGCGATTTCTATTCAATTGTACTACATGTGTATACTATGTCAATGTGTATGTGCAAGGTATAAAAGCAACTAAACTTGAAACTCTGACTACATTATGACTTTACATGCCTTTCATAAGAGTAAGTGGTATAATCTTTAAGTAACAAAAATTTATTTCTTTTTTTCTGAAAAAATAATGGAGGGTATCTTTAGACACCATTATATCCTTTTAGAATGTATTTAAGAATGATTTTTTTAACCAAAATTAAAATAAGCTTAAATTTCAATCTGAGAAGCTGNAACATGTTAACAACTGAGACAATTAATTTTGAATGACAGCACTAATGGCCATTTATTACATTAGCGTAATACGGTTCTAAAAATGAATTATTTGCTTGCTGCAATACTTAAAAAAATTTTCCAGCAGCTTTTATTAGTAAAACAGTAACAAAATTCACTACTCTTAATGCCAATTTAGATTCGTATTATTACAGAACGTCTTTTCACCATTACATCAGCGTTGGTATACGTTTTCTTATTTAATCGTATAACACTGACCTGTGGTACCCAAAATAGATTATAATTTTGACTCATAGTTGAAATTTAATGCAATTAAATAGTAGTTCAAGGCAGCTATTTACAGTTGAAGTCTTTAAAAATGAGAGTAACTATTGCTTTGTACAGTTCTAAGAAGTTTTTGTATTTATTACTAAGTAAAAAATTACCGTTACGTAACCCGGGAAAAATCATCCTCATACAGCAATTTTGTCTCATTGCAGGTTTTTTGGTACATTAGTAGATAAACATCCGAAGTATTTTTTTTTCTTCAAAAAGTTGTACCCATACTTTTTTCTTTCACTTCTTTCCACGTTACCTATACAAATACTCACAGAAACATTTCAAGACGTCTTATTTTCAATAATTATATAACATTGCTTGTATGCATCAAATTTATTATATGAGTGGTGCGGGTTATTGTTACACATGTGGTATCTAAGATACAAGAAATAATACTCCCATGTAACTAATTTATTATACATACTCTGTTCCTGTTCTTACTAACGTTTTATTTTCATCATAATAAGGAATAAAAATTTGAACAAAAACGTAAATTAAACACATTTAAACGATAAATATATTTGAAAGAACAATCTTTAAAAACTAATAATTTAATTGTACCAAAGCGCTTCAAAATTAATTTGAGAACCATTTGGCTATTTTGTATATCATGATGTAAGTAGTTATACAATTGTGCTCCGAGAGCAGAAATCATAAAGTGAGTGCCTGCAGGATACGATGTAGTTTTACGTTTGTGCCCAAGTTTTATTTATTGCTTTTTTCCCCGAGAGTACGAAATTGTATTTTGTGCCCTGAGTGATAGAAATAGTATACAGACTTGAGAACAGTAGTAAAACAACCGTACCCTTTAGGTGCACAAGTTTGTACTTCGTGTTCTACTGACACAATATAATACTGATTTTTTACAATGAACAGCTACATTTCGTAATTTCAATCATAATTTGATTTATTTTAATCTATCGTTTCTTCATATATTAGTAATTGATATTACTTTATCAAAAGTATAAATTTCCATACTCATTGTGTTATTCACAAAGAAATTTTTTAGAATACATGTATCATATTTTTTTTAACCTACCAAATAATTGTACTATCGTTATACAACAGTTAAACTCTCTGACAGTATCTTTACTAATTAATTTCTAAAGGTGGCTTGGTGGTTTGTACCGTACCTAGTGCAGGGTACCATAAAAGCCCCTAAAAAATCAACGCTTTTTGACAGTTTATTTTCCAATAAATATAGTTATCTCTGTAAAACCAAAGTACAAAATAAAGAGTTTGCTAGAAAGGTACCGTGAAATTTTAGTTAGATGAATTCTGGGAAATGTTGCAAGGCAAACCAGATTAATATTTCATATTTTTCTTCTGATTTTCTCTCAAGTAAAGTCGTTGACCCTATATATAATTTTTAAAAATTTAATAGATTATTTGTGAAAAAAATACGCAAGAACTATTAAGAATGTCTTATGTTAATCAGAGATTTCCAAAGATTCAGTCGATTTGGTGACCACTGTTCTTAGTGGAAGGTGTTAAATTGGTGAGTTTTTAGTATGATGAAATTTAAATCATGAATTTTCATTTAAGTGTTTGAGCATTATAAACATTTCTACACATTTCGTGACCCTCGCATCGTCAGGTCACGAGAGCATATAAGGTTGAAAAAAACAAAAAGACATATAAGAAAATAATGTTATAAAAACTTTGAAGTACAACTTACTTATAAGCCGAAGCAAAACGTAGAGCTTATGACTCTTAATTGTGCACTGACTGGCTGACAGTTCTCTATTGTTCGATTAATTTTCAAACGTAACAAACGCACGCGTTACTATTTTTAGTATCTCCGTCAACTTTTTATGGTTATGGGGGTAAACTAGATAATCGTTACAACCCGTGGGCTTAAAACAATGGATTAAATCATTGAGAACATTAAACTGTCTTCGCTTAAGTCCCTTTTAGTCGACTTGAAGTAGACTGTTTTTTACACGAATAGCCGAGTAATTATTTTTTAGTACGAAACAAAATTTAATTTTACCAACTTGAGGGGACAATACATTTTATTGAATGGATTTATAATTAGTATACTAGGATTGTGCTTGGATGACTTTAGCAGGGAAAATCACGTCCAGTTTTCTCAAAGTACTCTCAAAAATCCTCTTTAGATTCCTCAGTTCTCTTTGAGTCCTCGGCTCAAAGGGCTCTTTCAAGTACTTGCTAATGCTTTACAGTTCTCGCAATCATACAGAAAATGTTTTATCTTTATTCTATTTTTTTTTTAAACAACGTCCAATGGCTGAACTGTCAAATTTTGTATTCATGTAAAAACTAAACGATGTTTCGTCCGTTTGGACTATGTCCCAGCCCTCATCAGGTACAAAAATCTATGAGTAATAAAAAATTCTTTACAATACAAATTCTCGTAAATATAATAAACGCAAATTAAGTGAAGTGTATGACATACCACTAACTCTTTCGGAAGGTATGTAAAATGGTAATGTGGTCAGAGTTTCAAGTTGCTTTTATACCTTGCACATACACATCGACATAGTATACACACGTAGTACAATTGAATATAAATCGCAAGCAGTTCCTTGTGAGATGCATATAAACAGTCCATATTTTCTTAATACTATGTATGAAAAGGGCCCTGAAATCATGTATATCGAGTTAGTCTCCTTTCTTAACTGACTTAACAAGAGACTTATGAGAACTTTTTGATTGCTCTGTATCGTGTTGTCTATTGATATTAATATTGAAGTGATGTATCAAAATATTTTGAAGTAAGAAGATCGAGTTCAATTTATTGTTTAATCTGTTTATGAGACCAATGTGAAACTTCTTACAAAAAAATTAAATAGGAGCGTGCAAGTGGAGAATATGTGGTAATAATTAAATAAGTTTATAATTATTATTGTTTTTATTGCAATTGTCAATTATGATCATATTTTTTAAGTATTTATTCTTTTGTTTCAAAATTTAACAATAAAATTTTGAGGATAGTTGTAAACTAGAAAAAATTTATTGATTAATTCTAAATATGTGTGGGTTATGTGTGGGTTTTTGGTACTAATTAGTTAGTACTGTGTTATTTTCTTGAATGATGATTTTTAAATCTAAAAAACTAATGCTGTTGTTATTGCATGTCTCAACAGTAAAATGCAATTCTGG